TTTCCTTTCCTTTCCTTTCCTTTCCTTTCCTTTCCTTTCCTTTCCTTTCCTTCTTCTTTTTTTTCTTTCAACATAGAGCCATACTTAGTTTATTTAGAAAAATAAAGGAATGTAACATTTCCTGTGCTGGTCTCATAACCACTTCTTACTTGAGTAGAAGCACAGTTTCTTACCAAAGCTCCACATGGATAGACAGTTGAAGAACTTGGCTAAAAGTTTCGTCTCATTCTGGCCATTTCTTAAGCCAAGTTGCAACAATATGGTTTAAAAAACAAGGGAGTTCTTTTTGCAGGTGATTTAAGTAAGATGTAGAAAATATAAGTGATCATGAGTTCGTAGGGACCCATTAGCCCTGCCCCCCACCAGGCGGCTGTAGTCAGAAGCACCTTACACGTGTGTGAGAGAGTGTCAGCCCGCAGCGGTAAGAAAATTCACAACAACAACACAAAACGACAAAAGCGCTTCTTCTTGGGAGCATCCCTGGCAGATGAGGCAAAGCCAAGAGGAAAAGCTGACTACACAACTTGCCACTCCATTCTGACTCGCTCTTTGTCTGAAGCCTTTTTCTCACGCTGAAACAAAATGTGCCTTCCTTATTACCAGGTGGTTCAAAGCTTGTTCTCTGAGGAAATTAATTTCCAACTTTCCCCTGCCACGACTGTTTAAGACAGCGATTCTCCCTTGTAGTCTGATCTTCAGTGCTAAAAAAAAGTGCCCTCTTCCTTCAGTTCCCTCTCATGGGACACGGTTTTCACATGTTTTACCATCTTGCACATTCAGTCTTCTCTGAATGGATACTGTTTGAATAACGGCCCCCTTAAAACATATCACCCAGACAGAAAACAGTCCGGCAAGTGTGATACACAGAGGATCACTAGCTACTTTCTGTGATCACAACACAGCAGGTGAAACACCATCTCCTTAAGTAGTCACAGAACAAATTTGTCCAACAGGTGGCTAAATAGTCACCAAGATCCTTGTTCACGTAAACTACTGTCGTGCAAATTATTCTCCCATGCTTGTTTGATGGCGTTTTTAAATCTAAAGGTAGGGTTTCACATTTATGCATTCCTGGTAAGTTTCTTTACGGTCATTCACTTTTGTGGCTCAAAGATTGTTTAACACTGGGAGCCACAGAGAATGTCACATCTTAGGGTGGCATACCTATTCCATACTTGGAGTACAGGGTCAGATAACCCAAATGCGAAACTTAAATAAAACTGAATGTTCAGTGAAATGGCCATTATAATTATTCGTTACCACAGCACCAAGAAAACCGAATCAGATTTAAATTTAGGAAAAGGGCACAGTGGCACTGGTCACCTTGAGAATCAGCGTAGGCCTGGGAGGAGAGTTAATTTGGAGGAAGAGAGCGAGAGAAGTAAAACGGGATGGAGCAAGAGGAGCCGATTCCATGTTTACTGTGGTCATTTTTCAACTTGAAAAAAAAAATGTAATTAAAACCAAATGTGGTTAAAGTTACAGAAGCAGCCCAAGGGTCCACCTGCAGATGAAGGGATAAAGAACATGTGGTATCCGGACAGTGGAGTATTACTCAGCCATAAAAGGGATGAGATCTTGCCATTTGCAACAACATGGATGCATCTACAGAGTATAATGCTAAGTGAAATAAGTCAGAGAGGGGCGCCTGGGTGGCTCAGTCGGTTAAGCGTCTGACTCTTGATCTCAGCTTGGGTCATGATCCCAGAGTTCATGGGATTGAGCCCATGTCAGGCTCTGCGCTAAAAGTGTGGAGCCTTCTCGGGACCCCCTCTTTCTCTGCTCCTCCCCTGCTTTCTCTCTCTCAAAATAAACAAGCAAACTTTTAAAAGAGTCAGAGAAAGACAAATACCATATGGTTTCACTCGTATATGGAATTTAAGAAACCAAACAAAGGGAAAAAATGAGACCAACCGAAAAAATGTACACCTGAAACTGATAGGACATTGGATGTTAACTACCCTGGAATTAAAACCAAAAAAAGACGTGCGGAAGTAATGGCTTGACAGATTAGAAAATATTTCCTTCAGCCTTTTCTATTTCCTGATTTTTTCCAGAAATTGAATTTCTAAAAATCACATTTTGTCATGTCAGTGTAGAAAAAAGCACTGAAGCCCATACCGAGATGTAAACACACATGCTACGGCTTATGAGGGTTCCCCCCCCCCAAAGGAAATCACAAGAATAGAGGGCAAGGAAATGCTTCTGGAATGAAACCTAACTTTCACAGAAGAGACAGAGAAGATCTGCTATTAAATCTAACCCAGTCTCCAAATATGATTGTGAGTCGCATATCCCTCATGCCCAACCGCACTCTTAAATTTTTGGTTCAACTTCGTTTAATAATGAATTGCCTTCTTATTACCTTCCCAAAGAAATAAAATATGTGTCAGAGGTTTCAAAAAGACATTTGCCGTATAATTAAATCACCCTTCATGACTGAATAAGGAACAGACACCCAATTAGCTGAAGTGTCTGCGGAAGGATGCTCTGGAGACCATGTGGAGATGGAATTTTGTGATGAGCCCCCATTAGTCCCCAGAATCCCTCCAAGAGACAGACCTATACAGAGCGCACTCTGACATGCCCTTCAACCACAGCTCCCCGTCTTTAGCAATTAAAAGCCTTTCTCAGCCATAACGTGCGAAGTTCCCGCCTATCCCATCCGAAAGACAGGTTGATTGTTACCTACCTAAACTGTCTCTAAATATACCTGCACCAGAACTTCTTCTACCCAACATCCTTAGCCCAAAATTTCACGGAGAAACTCCTGTACCCGATGGAAAATATAAAGCTAATTTTAAACATCACGTACGATGCCAAATGCATTTTAATATTTCCAAGATAAGATGACTAAATCACAAAGTTCTAAAGGCTTCATATAAAAACCATCTATCCCTCCCACACACGCCAGTCTCCTTGACAAGCATTAAGACCCGTCGCCAACATTATCAGCCTGTCATAAACTGGAGGAATATTTTTGATGGAGCAGATCCACTTAGGCACATTTACAAGGTGAACATTTACTGTTCATTGAAAATAGGCATCGCACGGAGCGACTGCTGCTAAATGGGCTCCCCTGATTTCATCTTCTGATAGTAGGGCATCCATCAGATTTCTCACATTCATGGCATCTCAGAAGCCTACGCATAAATCATGACAAACTACAGAGTTGCTGCTGTTTACAAATATGAAAAAGGCACCTTTCCCCCCTTATTTTTCATCTGAAAGTCAAAAACATTGCAGATGATTGTGGGTGTGGGGCACAGAGAGGGAGAGCATGCCAGCGAGCTCGGCTCTACAGAAGTACTCAATGCGTGCCCTGCGCTCTGTGTTTACATCATAAATACATTCTTACTGTGGATTTATGTCGGGGTTAATTTTTTTCAGTTCCATGATGTCTTCTATAGTTTTTTCAATAGCATCAGGGTGAACACTCACGGAAGTCTGCAGCAGCTGGAAAACACATTTCAGTCAGTTCCCTTGTCACGAGCATCAGTGGCTTAAGCGGGGTCTCTTTAGATGGGGAGCTTCAAGTATTTGCTTAGAACTTCTAAATAAGACTAAGCTAGAACTAAGCTAAAAGCAAAAATTGATTTAGTGTTTGGATTCTAGAAAATCAGACATTTTCACAATAGGGGGAGTGCAATTTTCCTGATTAAGATAATTCACATAAAACAGAAATACATAAGTTTTTTGTCCTATTTAATTTTTTTTCAAGATCTTTATATTGAAACATTATAGCTTATTTTTCTGACCCAGTGTATATGGTTTCCATTGTTAATGGGCAGTATGCCTATGAGTGAGTAAAGCACATAGTCTTAAGAATATCAAATTAAGTAATAATATTCAAGAATCTTGAAAAAAACCCCAGATTTTTCTCTTTTATGTGGATGCTTAACTGTATGCTGTGGTAGCTAGCATAGTGGCTTCTCTGATTTTCTTTGGAAATTTTGAGTATAATTTAAGTGATTTGGGTCATCTGGGTTGCTCAGTTAACATTCCGACTCTTGATTTCGGCTCAGTCATGATCTCATGTTTCATGAGTTCAAGCCCCACATCAGGCTCTGTGCTGATGGTGTGGAGCCTGCTTGGGATTCTCTCTCTCCCTCTTGCTTTGCCTCTCCCCTGCTCACGCTCACCCTACCTCTCTCTCAAAAAATAAACTTTTTAAAAAAGAGGACGAATTCAACAGTGAAGTAATACTGCGTCATAAATCTGCCTAGAAATTTACATTCAGTGGCTGCCCTTGTGTCATCAAGAGTGTAATGGCTTGTAATGAGCAAACCAATCTTTTTTCTCAGTTTGCATTGCCATTGGTATATATTTGTTTGTTAAAACGTTTACTTTTTGATGATGGAGGTAAGCCTCCAAGTGAAAAGTTGTTGAAAAATACAGAAACGGTTTCACTTACCTTACTTTTTGAATCCCTCAGTGATGTTTCTGTAGAAGTGACAATAAAAAAGCCATGAAAAAATGACATTTACAAGGGGCTTAAAATTACTAAAAACAGGGGTACCTGGGTGGCTCAGTCACTTAAGTGTCTAACTCTTGATTTTGGCTCAGGTCATGGTCTCATGGTCAGGAGAGTGAGCCCTGTAACGAGCTCTGTGCTGGGCACGGAGCCTGCTTGGGATTCTCTCCCTCTCCCTCTCCCTCTGCCCCTCCCCTGTGCATGTGTGTGCGCTCTCCCTCTCTCTCTCCCTCTCTATCAGAAGAAATTGCCATACGCAAATATAACGTGCTGCACCCACAATCCCATCAAGCTTACATTCTGCTCACTTCTTTGTTTCATACTTACCGATTTTCATGGTTCTAGAAGCCCCAGGCTTGGTACTGTAACAGATCCGTTGCAGTTCACATCTTCCAGTCAGCTTCCTCATTACAAATTTTAGGCAGCGCCACAAAAATTTACAGTAAAAATACAGGCACACCTGGAACAACATTCTGTCAAAGACAAAAGACAGCACCCTTCCAATAGAACTCTGGAAGAGAATGGAAAGCGGCCACCACCAGCAGGAAAAGCCCAGAAAAAAATCAACCATTAGACTTCTGGGTTTGCAGTCATATTCGTTTCCCTGCTCCCGTGTTATTTTACTTGGCACAGCTACAAAACCCATTTTTGGGGGGGAAGCCCACGGTCTGTGAGGATGCACTAACTATGACTGCAGGCAACTCTAGAAGGCCCTGTATTCTGGTTGAATTTGATATTCCAAACACCGAAGGGGGACACACAGCCAAGAATCCTTTCTTTTCTTACCTTTGCCTAAAAACCTCATGAAAGTGAATCAGTACCATGTAAACAGTACGTCTGTGTTTTGGAGTTGCCTCTCCCGTAGCCACGGGGAAGAACGAGCCATGGCTGAACTCGCCTCCTGCCGCTGTACACAGCCCCTCAGCTGGCCCTGCTCCGTGTGCAGCCCCTCCCTAGTGGCTGCTTTGACTCTTCCCTCGCTCTGATTCTTTCCCCCGCCTGTCTGCTTTCCATTAGGCGCCGTTGTCCCCCTTGAGGAGGACTCGGTTGTGTGCCACCTGTCTTCTCTGCCGCCGCTTCTCGCGCTTGTCAGAAGGCAAGTTCATTGAACAAGTAGGGTGACCTTCAGTTCGTCAACCTTCTCTGATTTAAACCTTCCCCTGACTCCACCTCTTGACAAGCTTGTTCTCGGCTCCCGTTAAACAAAGTTCGCCTTAGAGCAGCCCAGTAATTCCTCAACAAACCAGGAAGTATCTAGTCACCGATCGTGTCCTTACATCTCTGGCACATGTGGACTTGTGTTTTATGCTGACTTTTATTTTTAACTTTTTTAAATGTTTATTTTTTGACACAGAGAGTGAGAGTGAGACAGAGTGTGAATAGTGTAGGGGCAGAGAGAGAGGGAGACAGAATCCGAAGCAGGCTCCAGGCTCTGAGCTGTCACCACAGAGCCTCATGTGGGGCTCGAACTCGCGAACCACGAGATCATGACCTGAGATGAAGCTGGACGTTTAACCAGCTGAGCCACCCAGGCGCCCCTTATTTTATTTTTAATATGTGAATGTCTCCTACTTCATGACACTGTTTAGAGTGTCAACATGACTCAAGCTACAGAGGTAAAGAGGACTTCTCGTCCAGGAACTTATACTCAATCTACGTCTGCATACCGTGCATTCCTAGGAGGCAGAATTATTTATAGAACTTCCTGTCAGTGTCATTTCTAAAAGATGTTTCTTTTTCTCAAATGTTCACTGATTCCCTCCAGCCCTACCCTAAGGTGATCCGGGGTCACGCAGGTGAATGAGAGTTGTTAACTAGTAGCCTTAGTGATGTGATCCATCCGTGAATATGAACCGTCACCTTGATTGTGTTCCTTTGCTTAATTGCTCTGGCTCTAATGTCTTGAACAGCCTGTGTTAAAAATAAAAATTCTAGTAGGCTAATGTGTACAAGGGCTTGGAATCTGTATCATATAAATGCATAGGGAGTGGAGGAAACAGTAAGTAACCAAACTGCTACAATAAGACAACACAACGGAATCCTTTGTAGGTAATGGAATTATGTTCTAGGATATCAAGTAATGTGAGAAAATGTCATGATATGCTTACAAATAGGAAAAATTAGGAAGAGACATACATGAAATGATCGACTTTATGTTTTAGAAAACTCTAATGCTGGGGTACCTGGGTGGCTCGGTCAGTTAAGTGTCTGACTCTTGATCTCAGCTCAGGTCATGATCTCATGGCTTGGGAGTTCTAGCCCTGTATTACTGGGCTCTGTGTTGATCCCAAGCCTGCTTGGGATTCTGTCTCTCCTTCTCTCTGCCCCTCTCCTGCTTTTGCTCTCTCTCAAATAAATAAACTTTAAAAAGTAAAAAAAAAAAGGAAACTGTTAAAAAAAATCTAATGGTGCTGTCTGAACAAGGAGAAAAAGACACTGGATACATTCAGATGTTAACAGTGGTATTAATGGGTAAAGGAATAATGAGTACTTTTTACTTTCAATTTTCACTAAGTATATTTTCATTTTTTGTATAAGTACATTTTATTTTGTTTAATAAAAAAGGCTATAACAATTAAAATGTATAAATGATCACCAAAAGCCATTACAAGAGTGTATATAAGATTTCTATGTGAAGTCAGTTAGCTTCTGCGGAAAGATAAAAAAATGGATTTACTACCTTTTAAAGTCTGAAATTCAGCTGTTTTAGTCACATACATCCTAAGATCTATTATGATTTTAAAAAAAAAAAAGGTAACCTAAATATAAATTTAGTGGAACATCTTAATTAGATGCATGAGAAATTTTATGAAACTTGAGCTTTCTCGGAAAAAAAAATTTCCGTTTTCCAACTACTAGATAGCTATGCCAGCAGAGAGGATTGAGCATATCTTTGTTAGCTGGTGATGGGCCAGCTGGTATTGCTGTTACTGGTCGGCTTTATTCCTGTGACGAAGTCGAGGATAAAAGCTTCCCGTGACCGGTCCTTCTGGGGCCCAGGGAGCTTGCTTACAGCACGTGGGCCGGCTCCTCAGATGAAGCCTCGTAGTCCGCGAGCCAGGACTCCATGACAGTCAGGTTCTTGGGGACAAAGGGTTCTGATCAGTCAGGGGTACCTTTGTATTTACTCTGCTTAGGGTACGAGGCACCAGACCATTTTACAGCTCAAATTAAACTAGAAAGTTTCCCTCATACAACGTCTCCATCAGATCCATGCAGAGACGTGGCTTGAGGCCTAGCCGTGTCCTCTGAGGGGCAGGAGGTGTCCACGTGGACAGTGGCATCTAGCCCATCTGTGATTTCTCCCGCTGCCTCCTTGCCCATGAGAAGAAAACGCCTGGGGAACTGTTTTGCATTAAGGCAGTCTTACATAAAAGGAGAGAAAAGACATCATGTTCTGTTTGCTCTGATCTCTTCTGTTTCCAGCTCCCCTGAGGCTCACACTGTCAAAGACAGGGAGACCCGTCGTAGTCGGAGATCTCCAGCGACGGGCTGATGCTGCCTCATGTCTCAGGGCTCGGCCCTCTCTGGGGTCTGTCACATCCCTCTCACGCAGCCACACAACCAGTGTCACAGGTTGTGAAAGAGAAATGCCCACTTCCATCACGGAGTGAAATTTATACACTGCTTCTTTACCTGTTTGTAATTTCTAGGCCAGGAGTCCTGATAATTATTTATTAAGAATATATTTTAGCTCTTTTCCTAATGGGCCCAGACACCCACAAGTATTTCATTAAAAGGCCAGCTTGCTGTGCTAGCACTGTATATTTCCTTGCTCTGCTATCTACATACTATATATTTTTTCAAGCCAAATCATTAGATCAAACAGTATTTTGACAGATATAATTTATTCTGTAATTAGATCATAAACCTAAGGCAGAGATTTCAGAGATGGAAATGCCAGTGGTGCCTTTTACTTTGGAAGCCTCGTTTTGATGACAGACACCACCTCCAACTTATTTCTGCGAGAAAGGACCAGATCAGCAAAGCTTCCATAGGATGACTGTTCTTCACCATCAGCTGTTGTCAGGGGCTCACTTTTGGAACGTTTGGACCTGTTGAAGTCCCTAAATCGTAAAGTTTATGCAAAAACTCCTGACGGTCCAGGGAGAATAAACATAATTAAATATTTTGGGAGAATGTTCGTAAGTTCATTTGGCATGTCTACCCTGAAAAGGAAGAAGTTAAGAAATGGATCTTTAAATGCTTTTTAAGTCCACCAGTGGCTGGTTTAGGAGAAAAGAAAGGAAGTTCTGTTCCTACTCTTTGAATGAGAATTACAGCCACACCCTCTCCACCATCCGAACTCTATATTCAGGGGCTTTATAATTCTGCTTGTTTTTTTTCCCTCCTGGCCTAAATCATCAAAATGAGAAGCTTAATTTTAGGTAGGGGAGTCTTTCGCTTTTTTTCTTCATAACGCTAGACTTTGTTTTCTTACTTGTGATGGAAGATTCTCAACTTACTACTGAAAGGATCTACTACATTTTGTAGGAACAGCCACAAAATTCTCAAGACTACTGGAAGAAAATCCAGATTAAAACTAGCCCCTGTTTTAATAGCCACATGCATAGACAGCAGTTTTTGTGTTTGATCCCGTTGTTTCTTTTTTTAATCACAGCATATTGAGAGTGTTCCAGAAGGACTTACTGTGGCTTCCTAACTAACATCAATGTGTTGCACAAGCACTGGGAAAAGCTGATTTAATAATAAGAACTACTTACACGTTTCATTTCCAATTTTTTCTATTACAACCATTTATTGGTATGTTCTAGAGTGAAGTTTATGGTTGAGGTCACAGCGGTGTTTTTCCACAAGCCAATTAGGGTCGCTTTTATTATTTCACATTCATTCCCTAGCTTGAACCAGAATAGCCATCCAAAGTAAGTTATTCAAAATGGATCATATCTCTAACACCAGATAAAAGAGAGCTCCTGTCTTGTGGTGCTTTGTTAGAGGAATCTACTCAGCAGGGATGGGACCGTTGAAGCAGGAGAATCGCCTAGAACCACGTAGCCCCAGCCTGCGGGCTGAGGGGGTGTGGGTACCTGTGGTGCAACACTACGCCATCATCTTAAGTTTGTGACTGACGTCTTCTTTTGGAATAATAAGAGAAAAGTGGCTTATTTTGAACAGTTTCAATGAGTTTGCTAGTGAAAGTTAATTCTTGCTTGAAGAAATCCTGTAATAAATAAGAAGTACACTACTGGTGAGGAAGGACACATAAAATAATCACAGTTCTTGATTCAAACCATAGTTGCCTAAACAAAACACTTTTCATCTGAGTGGCCGTAGAGAACAACAAACCGCTCAATGTTTCCAACATTTCATTCATTTTCTAAAACGATGTTTGAAAAATTTTAGAAAATGGGCGCCTGGGTGGCTCAGTCGGTTAAGCGTCCGACTTCAGCTCAGGTCATGATCTCACAGTTCGTGAGTTCAAGCCCCGCGTCGGGCTCTGTGCTGACAGCTTGGAACCTGGAGCCTGTTTCAGATTCTGTGTCTCCCTCT